GAGGGGGTAGAATTTTTTTATAAAAAGTTGGGGGGGGGGGGGGGGAGACAGCCACTTACACACATAAGTGGAAGTGTCATGAATGCTTGAAACCTGCATTTAACCTCCCCCCACCCCCCAAAAAAAACCAGACATTGCTGCGCTGCTTTCTTGAGTTACCGTTATACTACATTGGTGTGAAAATCTCGTGTTTGACAAGCCATACACGATCCATGTTCCTGAGACAAACTGTTCAGAGCTTTGAGCACAACATCTGGCATGTGGTCTGTTATCATCTTGGGACTTATTAAAATGCTGCTGAAGACTGTTTCTTTTGACCAGCTTGCAGTATATTTAATATCTGAAGAGCACAACCTAAAAAAACACAAACAAAAATCTAGTACAAAAACTTTCAGACTGTCTCAAGTGCTGCTCAGTGCCAAGCGTGGAATGGCTTTCTTGTGGGTCTCTACACCCTGGAGGTAGCTGACCCATTGTTAGGGGAGAAATTAAAACCATTTCAGTTAGCAGGAAAGACCCAACATTAGATTTTAATGCTGCAGAAACTACGCTGTTGTTCGTTAGTGGTGGGTTTTTTGTTTTTTTTTTAAATTATTTTACAGAACATAGTACATGATGAGGGGGGTCCTGTATGATAGTGTAATTAAGGGAAAAAAAAAAAACCCAACATGCTTAACAGCTGTGCTTGGGAATACAGGAAGAGAAAGACTAAGCAGGTAATATAAGCGTATCAAGAAAAATCTGGTAGGTCTGAGGTACTAAAAGTACCTAATTTTGAAAACAACATTAAAATATTTTAATATTAAAGAGGAACTGAAATTTACAAAGTAATTATTAATCTGCTCAAACAGAGAGAGGAAAAAAAAAAAAAAGGAGTTGTTCTCTAGCCCTTTTCTTCCCTCACTTCTAGTTGAAATAAGAGCATCTGCCACTTATATCTAGTCTTCTGTTAAGTTACAGATGCTTTTATTCTTGTTTCAGAAAGAAATGAGGAAGGTTATCATAGGGGAGTACCCATCTAGCCTGTGGGGCATTTCAGACTGTTTTGTCTAAAAAACACAACAGAAATAATAACAAAACAACCCCCCCCCCCAACCCTTCCAGTAGTTTCAGCTTTTCTGTTGTCTTGGTCTCATCTTTCTTGCTTCCACTAAATAGAAGCAAGCAAAAGACAGATACTTGAGTCTGTGTAGTCAAGTTGGTGTTGGAATAACTGGACCTCTCCACTCTGGCTGAGCAAGTATTTTGGGCAATGTTTTGCCATCTTTACCATTGCCAGTATGCTTACGACTACCCAGTAAATAGGTACTTCATTATCACCCCGCCACTATGGGATATAAGACAGCATGCTCACATACAGGAACTGCAGCATGCTAAAGCTGAACTTAGCAGCCTATTGTTTAAAGGCATCACACATTCAGCATATGGCAGAACAATGAATACAGACACAGAAGCAGTTTCCAAGGACTTGAAATGAAGCATAAAGAAGCAGGGAAGCAAGAGAGCAAAGCCAGAGAAAAGCTGCCTAATTGTAAAAAACAAAAGATGGGTGTAAGAGACACAAATGACAAGCAGCACTGAAAATACATTTTGAAGGTGAGAAGCAACCTGAAGTAAATTTTAGGAAAACCGGACAATGCTATTCATTATTCCCACATACCTCCTAGAGCTGGATTCTTCTACAATATGGATAATCTTTCCAGGAAGATACAGATGAGGATACTGAGGTGGTGAATTTAAGTGTGATTCAT